CTCCAGTTTCAAAAGCTTTTGATAATCAAGGAAATCCAACTAAGGTATTATCATTTCCGTTTATTTTAACTTCAGAAGGGTAGTTTTGTCTTTTCACTTTTGTAGTTAACTTATACTGACTGATGGTTTTTCTTTCAGGCAGCAGAAGGGTTTTGTTGTAGAAATTCCGTAACAGTGGATGCGTTGTATAAAAAAACTGAAGGTATATCTTTATATAATCATCACTTGGATTTCAATAAAAACTTATTTCATGAAATAAAAAGATTGTATTTTTTTATAGGCAAGACAGAGTATGTTTATGTTCGTGTGATGGAGTCTGCACAGCTTGCTCTGGAGGTATAATATACATTATACAGTATGCAAATAGTTAAACACGTGCTTCAGTTTCCTTTTGTGTAATCTATTTAAAATCAAATGTTGCATAGATGCTTTTATTTATAGGTTTTATCAAATTAATGAATCTTATAATGTATTTATTTCTGATAGGTTTTATCAAAAGAGTTGCCAGGGGCAATTAGTAAAATATCATTTCCAAAGTCCATGCGTTGGAACTCCGAGGTGTGTCCCTTGTAACTAATTACCCAAAAAAATAAAAATTTCATGAGTAATTAATATGTGAATAATTAATAATCGGATAATTTTTCTCTCATTTAGGTCATATTTAGTCGACCTATTCGTTGGATTTTGGCACTTCATGGAGATGCATTTGTTCCTTTTTCATTTGCTGGTATTTTAAGGTAAGTGATTATTTCATGCAATTCTGCTTCTTTTTTTTTTTATGTTTGTTTTTTTTATTGCAGTGGTAATGTTTCTCAAGGTCTCCGTAATACAAAATCAGCTACAATCATGGTATATATGATATATTATAACTTAAAATATGTTGTGATTCATTCATATGATGTTTTTTTTTTTTTTTTGTAGGTTGATAGTGCAGAGTCTTATTCTACTCTAATGCAACAAGCTGGAATTTCTGTTGACACTGAGGTGACTTAAAACTCCATATATATAATTTATTATTGATAATAATTCATAAAAATATGGAATTCCATTTTTATTTTTTTTGTAGGAACGGAAGAAAATAATTCTAGAACGTTCCAACCATTTAGCAAAAAGTATTAATGGATGTCTTGTGATGAAAACTAGTTTACTTGATGAGGTAAATGAATCTGATCTAATATTTTTGTTTCTTTTTTAAAAACTTTATTATAAAAAGTTTTTATAAATTGTAATAAATGTAGGTTGTAAACCTTGTTGAGGCACCTGTTCCTGTCCTTGGAAAATTCTCAGAGTCTTTTCTAGTGCTCCCTAAAGATCTTTTAATAATGGTATGATTCAAATATAATCAAACACAAATAAAAACAAAAATGTCTTATGGTTTTCTTTTTTTCTATTAATTTTTTTTTCTCCTGAATAACAGGTTATGCAGAAGCATCAAAAGTACTTTGCCTTGACAGACAATGAAGGAAACCTGTTACCATATTTCATTGCTGTGAGACATAAATAAATAAATAAATAATTTAAATAATTAAACACCAGTTTTAAACATTTATTAATTGAAGAATACATTCAGGTTGCAAATGGACCAATTAATGAGTCGGTTGTTGCAAAAGGAAACGAGGCTGTGCTCAGGTTTGTTTTCTCTCTATTTTTTTCTTTTTAAATTTTTTTTATTCAAATTAACTGCATGAATTGAGTAAATTTTGTTCAATGTAGAGCTCGATATGAAGATGCTAAATTCTTTTACGAATTAGACACTAGTAAAAGGTTTTCAGAGTTTCGGGGTCAATTAAATGGAATTCTTTTCCATGTAAGTTTCTCTTACTCTTTGTGCTGAATATTCAAAATTGGTTTATATTTTTTTTTTTTACAAAATTTGCAGGAGAAACTTGGAACAATGGAGGACAAAATGATACGTGTGGAGAGTACAATTAGTGAACTAGGGTTAGCTCTAGGGTTAAGTGAAGATAAATTCCCAATTATTCAGGAAGCTGCATCACTTGCCATGTCAGACCTCTCGACAGCTGTCGTTACAGAGTTCACTTCACTATCAGGAATAATGGCACGCCACTATGCTCTTCGTGAAGGATACTCACAAGAGGTTGACATTTTGACTTCATGAATACCTTTATTTTTATGTGAAAGTATTTTTGTTCATGTGATTTTTTTTTTTATAAATATTTTAGGTCTCAGAGGCTTTGTTTGAGATCACACTCCCTCGATTTTCTGGTGATATTCTCCCGGAAACCGATGCAGGGACTGTATTGTCAATTGCAGACAGGTAAAATATATAAATATATTTTTTTTAATTGATGATTTTGATTTTTTTTTTTTTTTTTTTTTTTTTTTTTTGTTATGAATTTGGCAGATTAGATAGCTTAGTTGGGTTGTTTGGAGCAGGATGTCAACCGAGTTCAACTAATGATCCTTTTGGTCTACGAAGAATCTCATATGGTCTTGTAAGTCAACTGTGACAATTTAAATTAGTCAACTCTTATCTGCTGTCTTTTGATTGATTATAATTTATAATTTATAAATATTGATGGGTGTTTGTTTTAGGTACAAGTGTTGGTAGAAAAAGATAGAAACCTGGACTTACAACATGCTTTGGAAGTTGCTGCTTCTGTGCAATCTTTGAAAATAGATGCTGTAACAATACGCGAGGTAGACACATCTTTTTTTTCTTATTTTGTTATTCTTTATATTCATATTTTTATGCCACGATAATTCGTTCAGATGTTACTTATAGCTATGAAGAAGTGATTTTTCATTATTTTTCTCCAAATTTTAGGTGCATCAGTTTGTGACACGGAGACTTGAGCAATTTCTGGTATGTCTTTTCATTTATCAACCCTTTTAAAATATGAAATATTTAATTATATATGTTGGAATCAAGTAGTTATAGTTATGATTTATGAAATGAATATAAATATGAAATATTTAATGTGTTTTGATTGGTGATTTTAGGTTGATAAGGGAATAAACCCTGAAGTGGTTCGTGCAGTTTTATTAGAGCGTGCAAATTGGCCTAATTTGGCAGCAAAATCTGCATACAAAGTAAGCAACCAAAACACCAAATACCATTTTCTTGACACTTTTTTTTCACTACTTTGCAATAACGAAAATGGGCAAATTAGTAATTTAGTAGTGTGTAATATATTATTATTATTATTATTATTATTGTTATTATTATTATGCAGATGGATGTTTTGTCACGAGGTGAGGTTTTGCCAAAAGTGGTTGAAGCATATTCTAGGCCAACAAGAATTGTTCGTGGAAAACATGTGGATGCTGACACACAGGTACCATAAAAGTGCTATTTTTCATGATGAGGATGAGAGGGGCATTTACGTCTTTTTTTTTTTTGGCTTGTTGTAGGTTGATGAAGCATTGTTGGAGACGAATGAAGAGAAAGCTTTATGGAGCACTTTCTTGTCTATCAGAAGCAAAATACATCCGGGTAATCTTGTTTATTAGATTTTTTTGTTATTGAAGGGTATTTAAGTAAAAAACCAAGTTTGCACTTGTCATGAAGTTGTTTATTTTTTGAAAATATCAGGTATTGAAGTAGATGATTTTGTGGAAATCTCTTTGCAACTAGTTGAGCCACTAGAAGATTTTTTCACCAATATTTTTGTCATGGTGGTAAGTTCAAGCTCCTTTCTAAACTTTGACTTCTTAGACCAAACTGATTATATTCTATATTTAATTTTTGACATATTGAACTCTTGAAAATTTTGAAATTTTTATTCACTTCACATGGAGAACCGCTGTCAATAAATGAATTGGTTCCAACTTCCAAGTTCCAACAAAATAATTTTTTTTGGAAGTGGTTGACCTTAAAAAGTCAAAACTTGTATTAATTTATATTGAAAAGAAATTTGTAATGAATTGTTGTTGTAAATGCAGGAGGATGAAAAGATCAGGAAAAACAGACTTGCACTGCTTAGAGAAATTTCTCAACTCCCAAGAGGAATAGTTGACCTTTCAGTTTTGCCTGGATTTTGATTTTGACCTTTTTATTTTTTGGTTTCCATTTACAGGGCTCCAACTTTTATAATTTATCACATGCTGTCATTGTTTGTACTTTGTACACCATGAGTTGGTGATTATTGTCTTGGATACAATACACGGATCTTTCTTGTGTAAAATCTCATATCATAAGAGTGTTCTTTTGTTATAATATAAATATTTTGTAGGAATATTTGGAAAGTATATCCAATGGTGATATATAAAAAAAAAAAAAACTCGATTTAGTTTGATGTGGTTACCTACACATTGATGTCCAATTCATTTGGATGATTGGATGTGTTGCAACTATGGCTTTGTAAAACAGAAGATTGTATTGTGTTTGATATGCATTGGATTGATATATTTAATATTCTTTGATCAACTAATCCTCAAAAAATCATATATCAAAAAAAAAAGCACTCAAATCAAATGTTAATTACAAGTAATTTTTTAATGTCATTTTATGTTAAAGTCAAGTAATATATATTATTTTTTAGGAAGAACGTGTAACTAAAAAAAAAAACAATAAATTAGATGGACGTTGTAAAACATTTTAGATAAGTGAGGAATTATCAATGATATATGTTTCTTTTTTTCTGAAAATGTTCATATATATATATATACCAAGAAAAGTCTGATGATATTTTTTTTTTCTGAAGTATAGGTCAGTGAAAGACTGATTTGAGATGAGCTGCAAGTTCAGTTAATAGCAATAACTTCTTTTTTCTTTTTCTTTTAAGATTTAATATATTAGAGACCATAACTCGCTAACAAGTCTTTTTTAAAGATTTAATATGTGATTCAGTTCAAGCTGATACCTTAAACCACAAAGCCAACATATTGAAATTTCTTTTGAATCATCACAAAACCTCAAACCAGATAATAACTACTGGTTTAGCTCAGCTGAATCCAATTTCTCATCAAGAAAACAAAATATTCTTCTTTTTTTTTTTTTTTTTTTTACAATTAGTGAAATATAAGGTCAGGAAGAAGGGATTCATTCTAACTCTAAAAAAATTTATTTGCTTATGAAGAAGAGCAGCATCCACCACTCTGCTGAACGGGCTGTCCACGAATATTAACAGTTGGAGGCCTTGACTTACTCATGGACGGTTGACTTGCCATCCTGCATTTATATAAATGAAAAAGTCACAAGTAAACAACCGATTAAAAAGTTACACTTTAGTCCCTGTGAATACTTGACTTTTACGGATATGGTCCAGTTATTAGTTGCCTACCTATTCTTGATTGATGCAGCCATGGCCATGAAAGCTTGTTCCACGTTTGTAGCTTCTTTTGCACTTGCTTCCATAAAAGGGATTCCAATTTCATCAGCATATGCCTACACATTTCAGATTATATATAAACATCAAACAAACACCTAAAAGTATTTTTTAATTAAATAGATGACATGGAATGAATAAATCAGTTATCTATACGTATACCTTGGCTGCTTCAGTTGACACAACTTTATTTTGAACAAGATCACATTTGTTTCCAACAAGAAGTTTGTTCACATTCTCACTTGCATAACGATCAATTTCACTTAACCATTGTTTCACATTTTTAAAGCTTTCTTGGTCTGTCACATCATAAACCACCTGTACACACACATTAAAAAAATATATATTATAAAATTAAATAAAGAGAATATAAAAATTAAAAAAGACCACTCACTATAATGCCGTGGGCCCCACGGTAGTAGCTGCTTGTAATTGTCCGAAAACGTTCTTGCCCTGCTGTGTCCCACTGTGCATAAAATAAAAACAAACAAAAAGGTTTACAATTTAAATCACAAAAAAAAAAAAAAAAAAAAAAAAAAAAAAAATTGCACATCAAATGTTAGACTTACAATTTGAAGTTTAATTGTCTTGCCATCTTGTTCCACAGTACGGATTTTCTACAAAATAGGAAAAAACATAATAAATTCAAGCCAGTAAGACACATTTTTTACATAGGACATGACATGATATGACATGACAGAACAGGTTGTACTGTGTTAAGTGTGTAATAGATCGGGATTGATGTCAATAGGATAAAATTTTGCAATTTTTTTAATTTGTTTTACCAAAAAAGACAGGTCTATGCAAAAGACATGAATATCTTCCTTATGTTGATTATCGATAACAATCCTAGAAAGTTTGTCTACTCCTGTCCCATGTAGCAATGTGAACCAAAATTTAGAAAATTTACTTACAAAATCAACTCCAATGGTGCTTATGTAACTATCCAAGTAGGAATCATCCTATGATCGATCATGAGGGGAAAAGAGAAAACAAAGGAAATTCGTTAAGTATGTAATAAAAATGCCTACAAATACCAAAGTTAAAATGCGTTGAGAAAATTTGTTTTATTATTAATAAAGTATATTTTGTCTTAAGATCTAACAACGGACTTACAGCAAACCTCAGAAGTAGACATGATTTTCCTACTCCAGAATCTCCAATAAGCAAAAGCTTGAACAGGTAATCACTGCAAAACATGACATTGCCCTAAAGTAATAATACAGATCATACCATAGCTCTAGATTTATCATGTTCTGATGATGTGGCAGTGACATGGCAACATCTTTGAAACAATTTAATTAAACAATAACGAATTTCAGTTACGCTCAATTCTTGTGAAAATTTGTAACATTATATTAATCAATGAGACCAAGATTAAAACTTCCTTTTAAGTTATTTATTCTTTTTGACCCAAGTTTCTGTTTCAACCACTTGAAACAACAATGTTTTTAGTATTCCTTGACAAAATGACAAAATTATGTTGATAAGATGCTTCATAAATATTACTTCTCATTATCTCATACACCACCAATTTGACATTCTATTCGTTCAACCACGACCTAATCCAATTACATTAAACATGAAAACAACCATAAAAATCACATATACAATAAGCACCCGCATCAAATTTAATGAATCAAGCTCCAATGGAAAATCGAAAATTTACAGAATTGATTAGACTTGATGATCAGTGGTTGTACCATTTAAAGAACACCAATCGCACGTGAAAGGTAGAGGCGTTGATTCGAGAATTCACAGATCATATTTGATGCTAAAGAAAAGAACTTACTACTCAGTCGTCATGGCGGGGTTGTTGATCGCAGGAAAGAATGAGCGTGGAGCAGCGAATCTTGTGGATCGTTGCCGGAGGAGAACTGAAGCTCCGATGAGAGAGCGAGAGAAAATGGACGGAACACGCAAAATGCAAGGGACGTGAATGAATCATGAAAAGGGTAATTTATACATTTTTTTTCTGTTTTGTTGTACTACTCCAAATTTTGTTCAACCCTATTATATTATTATTGCATCCATAATGGTTTGGGAATGAACTTTTGTTATGTTCTAGTTAATATTATGATTAAACTGCACAAATGGTCCCTGTGGTTTGCTCAAAATTATCATTTTAGTCCAAAAATGTTTGGACTAGCACCATTGGTCCAGAAATTTCATTTTGTTGCTTGTTTGGTCTAATCTTTTTTGATTTTTTCAAAATGATGGATTTGCTCCTACTAAAATTTTTTTTCTTATTTGTTTTTCTAATTTTCAGATAAAAAAAATAAACAAATAAAATAAAAATAAATCTCTCTCTCTCTCTCTCTCTCTCCACTATTTTTCCTTCCTTTTTTCATTTGTTCTTCATGGTTCTCAAGAACCCCTTATCGTCGACTCCACCACCGTCCACCTTTAGTCATCCCTCATCCTCACTCACTTCATAATCCGAACCTGGACCCAACATCGTTTTACCACCCTCACCATTCATCACCTTCACCAACCTTCAACCTCAGCTAAACCTTTCATCATCTATCACCACCCAACATCACCTTTCTCCGTCTCCATTCCTACCACCATGACCACTATCAAACCACCATTCCACCTTATACTACCACCAGACACAACTCAAAAACACCACACTCATTTCTCCATCACAACCTATACTACCCACCATTAGCCACCACCGACCCTACATTCTCCGTCAGATCATCACAACACCATTGAAACATCATCGACTGTCATCAACACATAATGACCGCCTAACCACCAGCAATACCAAATCTGCCAAAAAATAAGAAAAAGAAATTAACCAGCGGATCTATTCGTCACCCTCTTTCTCTTTTTTCTCGTCGGATCTGGAAAAACAAGGTAACGGCGCCTTTCAACAAATACCAACGCTAGGGTTTGTTGATGAAGATATCGGAGCTAGGGTTTTCGGTGGATGATAGTTGCGCTGAAACAAGAATAACTGATTAGGTTTTCTGAAAACCCTAACTCATTGCCGCCCTTCATCTTCTCTGGAACATCGTCACCAAATCATTAGGGTTTACTGATGAAGAAAGCGGAGAAAGTGGAGATAGACGAGGCTCGTCGAAAGAACGATGGTTTATAGATCTGGAGCTTCGTCGAGTTGCAGTTGAGTTTTTCAGAGCGCCAGAAAAATGAAGTTTTACAAATATGGATGATGGCGATGAGATCGGAGCAAGGATTTACAGATGGACGACGACAACGACGAGATGGTGATGGTAGGTGGTGGGAATCGATTATGGTTTGTTGTAGGTAATGACGACTTTCAGATCTGTCGGAAGTTGGTGGTGGCGGAGATGGTAGGGGCTGAAGGTGGAGCTAAAGGCGGTGGTGGCTGACGGCGACGACGGTGGTGGATTTGACGATGAGGAGTTCTTGAGAACCATGAAGAACAAATGAAGAATGAAGGAGAAATAGTTGAGAGAGAGAGAGAGAGAGAAAGAGATAAAGAGATTTATTTTTATTTTTATTTTTTATTTTTTTAAATCTAAAAATCAGAAAAACATTTAAGAAAAGAGAGAAAATCATATTAACAGGGGCAAATCCGTCATTTTGAAAAAATCAGAACAGATTGGACCAAACAAGCAACAAAATGAAAATGTTGGACTTCTGATGCTAGTCCAAATCTTTTTGGGCCAAAGTGACAATTTTGAGCAAACCATAGGGACCATTTGTGCAGTTTAGTGATAAAAAAACATAGTTATAACTTATAAGGAGTAAATTGAGAATATTATTTTATAAAATAGATAAAGTATTCATAAAATATTTATTAAAAACGTGGTTATATAGATGAGCTTTGGAACCGGACCGGTTCGGAACCGGAACCGGTTTTCGTATATTATAAGAACCGGGAACCGGACCGCTGGTTCTAGCGTCGGTTCCGGTTCCGGTCCCGGTTTTTCGGTTATTTTAACCGGTTGAAATACTATAGATTATATGCTATCTTCTGGAGCTTGTAAATGATTCAATATTTAACCAAATTATGACTTTTTACATTCTAAATTGAAGTACAAACACTAAATTACATGTTGAAAAAAGAATCAACTAATTCCGACTTCATATGAGTGAGTTATGCGCATTTTAAAAGCAGGGACAGATTCCAAAAAAATAAAAAATGTTGAAACAGAAAAAACGCAGCATTGATATGTTGTCTTTCGGGGTCTATAACTGATTCAATATCTAACCAAAATATGTGTTTTTATAGTCTAAAATGAACTACAAACATCAAATTACATACTGGAAAAAAAATTAAGTGATTCCGTCGTCATATGAATGAGTTATACACATTTAGAAACATATTCAAAAAAACAAAAAATAATGTTGAAATAAAAAAACGCAACATCGATATGCTTTCTTTCGGGGCATGTTTCCGATTCAATATGTAACCAAAACATATGTTTGTATCGTCAAAAATGAATTACAAACTTCAAATTACATGTTGGAAAAAAAATCAAATAATTTCGACTTCATATGAGCGAGTTATACGCATTTTTAAAAATGAAAAAAATGTCAAACCGGTTCCGGTTCTTAGAACCGGGACCGCTTTTCATAAAAATGGAGAACCGGTAACCGGACCTATTATCAATTCCGGTTCCGGTTCCGGTTCGGTTCCGGTTCCGGTTCCGGCGGTTCTAATGCTCATCCCTAATTCTTACCTTCGATGACTTTCCCGGAGCTCAACTCTAACTAGTAAAATTAAGAAAGATTGATCATTATCTCTAAAGCATTTTAACAAATACATCTCGTATTATTGTATATAATAGATGAAACATCCAACACATTCGAGAAACAAAAACAAAATCTATATTAACTTACATACACATAGATCTCGTATATAATAGATGCGCACATATAGTTACCTTATTCTTGTGTTCAACTTAACGAGGAAAATAAAAAGAAATGAGTGAAAGTGGGGAGAAAGTAAAATATATTGGTATTTTCGAGTTTCATTAAAGGAGTGGAGTGGAAGGAAATGAAATGATCATTTCCCTCGTAACTTTCCTTTCGATTTAGAAGAATTTGGAGAGAAAGAACAAAATGTTTAATTTTCTTCAGATTTTTCTCCAACTCGGAAACATAATATATAAATTTATTTTTTCTTTTTTTCTCTTCTTTTCTCTCATTACTTTCTTTTCTTTTCTTTTTTTTTTTTTGCTAAAACTCCACTAATCTCATGTAATTAAACGTCAAGGTACTTTTTCATTGTTCCTCGTGTTTTCATCAAACGTTGCTCCTTTTTTGGACTAGTTTAATCACCATCAACACTAATCAATATGTAATAATTAATATATAAACAAATTTCAATAATTATCTTTGCATCGATTTGATTGCATTATGCCTTTGTTTTCTGCTTCGTCTTTCAATTATGGATGATAGTAACTATTAGGGATCAATTTATATGGAATGGTGGAATGCGTTTTGACTTTTAAGATAGCTATATCATATGTGCAATGCAGGGTTTAACATTAGAACATCATCTATTAAAAGTTGCAATGGGTGAAGGTTAGAGATGGCAATAGGGTCGGAAAACACGAGGGTTTTCAATTGCCATCCATATAACTGAATCCTTATTTAAATTTTATCCACATTGGGAAAATATAAATGGATCCCCGTCCCCAACCCCAACGGGAAATCGGAGATTTTTTTTTAATATAAAAAATTTTATGTAAGGAAAAACTTTAAATTTAAATTTTACCAATGTAAGAACCCCAAAATAAGAAAGATTTGACTTTGGGTGAATAATCGATCAAAATGGTAATTTGGTCAGGAATTTCATGAATTGAGATGATGTAACTTCATGAAATGAGTCAAGATAATAAGTGGGTTCAAGAGAAGAAATATAAAAGATGGTGCTTTAGGTCATAATGGGTAAAATGAGAATTTTATGTCTTTTGTCCCAAGTTTATGACTTAATAGATTAAGACTCATAAATAGTCAGTTCAAAATGACTTAAAGGAGTTGTATAACTCATCCCCACCTTCACGTAAATATAAAGATCATTGAAACCGAGTATAAAACGAAGAAGTTATGAGTATTTGAATATTAGAAGAAAATTGTCCCAAAACTTGAATGTAATCAGCTAAGGACCTGCTGAAGTGCAGGCCCCGCGACACGGCAATGGTCGTGCCACAATGCGATTTGTATAGAGGTAAAAAGGGACGAAAGTCTCATCATAAGTATAGGACAATGTACTCGTACCGAGACGTGATTATATGGGTTACCGCCTTCATGAAATCACATCTACAAATTTAATTATATCTATATAATATTCAATAACACAAAAATCTAAACCTTCAATTATAGTATTTCTATCTTTTTCGAAACTAATTAAATACTTTTTATTATAAGTTTATTTCAAATTGAATGGTATTTGACTCGAGTTTCCATTTTAGTAAACAAATGATTAAGTGATAAATAAAATTACGTATCGACTATTTAATTAATATTTATAATTTATCCACAATGAACATCAAATTTAAATAGAACAACTATTTATTAAATATTTATAATTCTATATGCATGTTTTTAGTCATATATTGTAACTAAGTTTAGTGGTACATTAATATCTAATTTTAGATTTAATTAGTGATTTTCGTTCCTATTCATTTAATTACTTTTATACCCTTATAATTTATTTTTGAGTAAATTACATGAATGGTCCCTATGATTTAGGATAATTTACGTGTTTGGTTTCTAACTTATTTTTTTAACTCGAAAGGTCCTTATTTTTTGTTTTTATTACAAGTTTGGTCCCTATCTTACCTAAAAAAACTATTTTATCCTTGATTTTTTAATTTATTTAAATAAACACACCCCCAACCTTACCCCTTCACCTTACCTTACCTACCTCACTATTTTTTTCCTATTTAAATAATAGTCTTATTAGGTAAGACAATGATCAAACACATAACAAAAACAAACAGTAGGAACCAAACGCATAACAAAAACAAACAGTAGAACTTTCCAAGTTAAAAAAAAAAAAAAAAAAAAAAAAAAAAAAAGTTAGAAACCAAGCGCGCAAATTACCCCAAAGCATAGGGACCATTCGTGTAATTTACTCAAAAAAAATTCTATTTTTTTAATCGTTATCTTATACTATATTATAAAACATATAAGTCATATCTTGAATTTAAAGAGTTATAAGTTACAAAACTTTTTGTACAAATCAATTATACATAGATAAATCATTAATACTTATCAAAAGTTTGAAAACTTGAATTAAGAAAGATTATTAAGAAATTCAATTTAGAGCAAAATGATAAATTTAAAATAGAGTAAATTACTGAAACCGTCCCTGTGGTTTGGTTAAAATTGCACGTTTGGTCTCTAACTTTTTTTTGCACTCGGATCATCCCTGTGGTTTGATTTTGTTGCGTTTTTCGTCCCCGTGATTTGATTTTGTTGCATTTTTCGTCCCTTACATACATAAAGTTAGGGACCAAACATGCAACTTTTACCAAACCATAGGGACGAAAAACGCAACAAAATCAAACCACAGGGACGATCCGAGTGCAAAAAAAAAAGTTAGAGACCAAACGTGCAATTTTGACCAAACCATAGAGACGATTTCAGTAATTTACTCTTTAATATATATATATATATATATATATATATATATATCAATTTATATTTCTTAAACTAAACATCCCTATTAATTACTTCACGTACATCAAATATATAAACATACATCATAAATATAATGCATAAACGAAAATATTTTATTTAATACTGGTAATTTTTTATTAGTGTCATCACTCGTCACCTATCCAAACCATTGGTCAAGACCGCTACCCACCGGAGTTCATCCGAATCGAGATACAAATTTGGATCAAAAGGGAAACGAAACTAAGGTTTTGTGACTATGGTTTTCTCCGTCTCTCTTTCTCCCCCCTTATGCTATTTTGACTACTAGATCGTTCGTAAACGAAATTAGGGTTTTCCAACACCAACGCTAAGGTTTTCTATCGGATCTGTTGGTACGATAGTCACCAACAAGGGTATAGAGGTTTGGAGTTTTGAACAGAGAATGAAGGGTAACAGTGTCAGACTTAGTGTTAGTAGAGGGAGTGATGAACATCGCCGGTGGTCCGAAGTCTGTGGCGGTATGTTGACAATGGTGGTCCGACATGTGATAGGGTGGACCGATGAGAGAGAGAGAGAGAGAGAGAGAGAGAGAGAGTGTGTGTGTGTATGTTTGTAAATGAGTGGGTTAAAGATGTGACTTCAAAAAAAAATTATATTTAAAAGCATATTTGTCATTTTAAGCTAGAAATGAACCAAAAACACAAAAATAATATCAATCATAGGAACCTACTACAAAAACACAAGATATTGAAAATTGTACCGTTGATCCACCACCAATTTATTTGGATCAAATTCATATAATTTTGACAACCACACGGACTATTTTTGCAATTTTGTCTTAAATTTTAAATAGAACAACATTTTTGTCTTGTTTATCAATTTTATCTCATATTAAGTGTCTAGAAATGCATAATAAACCACATGATCAAATGACAGCCAAACATAATGACTTGTATTCTTTTCATAGAATCTTTAACAATCAATACGATTCCTCTTTCTATAAATTACAACCAGCACAACCAAAACTCCCTTTTAAATCTAATTAAAATCCTCTTAACTCAAGCAACTTTCGAGAGCTACATTTGAGTTCGTGTTGTTGCAAAAAAAAAAAAAAAAAAAAAAAAAAAAAAAAAAAAAAAAGACCGATGAAAACATCTTCACATAAATTATTAAAAAAATAGAATAATAATTTTAGTTTTTAACAACAATTATATATACCTAACCTACAAAACCTCAACCGCTTCCTTGTCTCTGTTCTTCTTGGGCCTCCCAGTTTGCTTGGCATCTTTTCCCATCAAAAACTTCATTGCTTTCTCCAAAGTTATGTCATTAGGATTCGTGTTCTGTGCCCATATTCAAACACTTACACAATCAAAACCCTAAACCCTAAATCCTAAATAAAATAATAATTAAATGTTTCGATTTTTCATGTGAAGATATTAACATAACATACCTTTGGTACTGGTGCTTGTGTACGTCTATGTTTTACTGACAACCCATGTCTTGCAAGCTTCAGTACCACTGGCAAACCATCATCTGGATGTTTTCCCTAAAATATATACGAATTTAATATTATCAATTCAGGAATTACAATATAAATTTTAAATATAAAAAAAAAAAAAAAAAAAAAAAAAAAGTGAATTCTAACAAAAACATACCAAAGTAATGGGGTAACGCAGCAACTGAAGAGCATCTTCCAAAGTTATAGAGGTAACATCTGAAATCTGATCATCACATTACAAGAGAAATTATAAGTCATAAATATGACAAAAAAAAAAAACAAATAAATAAAAATAAAAATATAAAAATATAATATACCTGGGAAACAGAAGCTCGTTTAGGTAAGTGTCCCTTTTTGTCTTCACCAAGCTGTACATAATGACCATATGGACCATCCTTCAATAGAATCTTCATCCATCCATCCATAACATAACATAACATAACACCAAATATAATTATTATGAGATTATGTAACACATAAAAAAATCACATTAATTAAGAAAACAAAAAGATATAAACCTTTTCATTAGAGGTAGGATGCACTCCAAGAACCTTGGGCTCCTCTACAGCTCGACTATTTTCTGGGCTAGAATCATCCTCATCATCACCATATAGTGTCTTAGCAATATACCTTTATAAAAAAAAAAAATCAGAAACCGTTTAAATGTTGTTAACTTTTTTAACAAAAGAAAAACAAACAAATTGGCAAAACTTACTTGCACTGAGGATGTTGATCACAACCAATGAAATAACCAGCACCAAATCGACTCACTTTAAAAATCAAAGTACCCTCTCTACAACTTGGACACAATCTACTTTGATCAGGAAGAGAAGCAAACAAAAAATCACCAAATGTTTTCTCCAACATCTTCTCCACTTGATGAATATGAACACTACTAGCACGTTCACAATACTTACTAAATCTTGTCCAATAATCTCTAAGCAACCCTTTCCATTCAGTCAAACCCCCTGAAACATTATCTAACTCAGTCTCCATATCAGCTGTAAAGCTATAATCAGTCACCTCAGAGAAATGATGAAACAAAAAAGCAGACACCATTCTCCCACGAAACTCTGGATACAACACTCTGCTTTTCACTGTCATGTAATTTCTATCTTTCAATACTTTAATTGTTGTTGCATATGTAGAAGGTCTCCCAATTCCAAGCTCCTCCATCTTTTTTACCAAACTACCCTCCGAGTAACGCGATGGTGCTTGAGTGTAATGTTGCTTCGGTTCCAACTCTATAAGACTCATTGAATCCCCGGATTTTAGATTGTCGAGAATCTCAAAATACCCATTTTGCCCTTCGTGTTCGTCTTCGTTGTTTCTAATTATCCTGCTCTCAGTATCCTTATATACAGATTGGAAACCGAGGAAATCCAATTTGAGGTTGAGGATCGA